AAGGCCCTCTGCTGCCCTGAGCGATTACGTTCAGTTCCTCTGCTCCTCCGATTCGTCATGCAAACTGAAACCAGGCTGATCTTTCCAAAATACCTGTTCATCTGGTCTTCTCAGAAAGTCTGCTGTTTTTCTTCGCTGCTCTAGGATGTCTCCATTGGCCTCCTCAGCAGCCTTTAGCCTGAGTCGTACTGGGAGGTGGCAGGTGGAGGTGGGCACAGATTTTACTCCCATTCCAGCCTTAGATCTCTTTATTTCCTTCCTGTCTTACCTCATTCCAATCGGATTCATCTCCGCTTTGCACTGCCCTCCTTAGCCTCATTTATCATTCCTATTAGCCATTTTTCTGGTGGCTTTCAAGCCAGTCAGGTCGGTGGGTCTTGGTATTTGTGGTATAGTTATCTTCACAGATGTTTTTCAATGACCTTTTCCTATCTCCCCAAGTGTAGTTGAACCTGTCAACTCCTTGAAGGCGGGGCCAAGACGGTCTGCTTCTGTATGGGATGTGGGTGGAGACTGTGTGTGGTGCGCGCGCGCGGGCGCGCGCGCCTCCTTGCGGGGAGGGACCTCTGCTCGGGAGGAGGGAACTCGAATTGGTTGAGGCTGCACCTGGGGGCTGCACCTGGAGGCTCCAGAGGAGGAAAGTCGTTTCTTTGAGCCGCAGATGGTTGTGCCCAGGGATGAGAAATTGCCTAACTTTTCGGGTGTGCCCTCCCCACCATCACCTTGCACACAGGAAAATGGGACATTCAGCGCAGATGCTGAGTGACCTAGGGGACCCAGGGGTTTGACCAGAAAGAGGTTTTCAAAGCCTGAACTCAAGCCACGCTTTTAAGGGACCCCTTTCTATCCACCTGTAGTATGAAGAGGACAGCCCTCTCCCCAGCAGTTCTCGTTCTGGAGCGCTCCCAATTTCTGCAGGCGCCTTCTGTCCGCCTCTGTGTGCTTTGAGTTTTCCCTCCAGCTTCCTGGGCCTCTACGCTCATCTGTAAGCTTTTTCTGTTTTTTTTTTTTTTTTTGTTGTTGTTGTTGTTGTTGTGCTTCCGAGAGACTGACTTTTAACAACTTTCTCCTGGCTCTCCCAGGCTGTCCGCAACCTCCTCTCTTCTTTTGCCGGCGCTCCTGGCTCTCTCCGCGCTCCCGGCTTACCTCCGCCGCCGCAGAGCAGCCCCTTACCTCCCGGTCCCCTTCCCTGCCTCTGCCGGCTCCCCGCCTCGCCCCACGGCGCCCCTCCGAGCTCTCGCAGAGTTGGGGGAGAGGGGGCGGGAGGGCCAGCCGGGAGGAGGGGGCGGCGCCGCCTCCAGCCCGGCCTGGGCGGGGTCCTGGGAACGGGCGGAGGCCCAGCCGCGCCCCCAGGCCCCAGCAGCGGCCCGCGCCCCTCGGACGGGAGGAGAGGGGCTGGCCCACTGCCAGCGTCTGAGAGCCGGCCCCCTCCCCCGGCCCGCTTGCAGCCAACCAGGCACTCCAGCGGGGCCCACGTGACCTGGAGTTCTAGACAAAGAAAATGTTCAAGCCCTCCCCCCCACCTCCCCCCCTCCCCCTCTCTCTGGCCCCCTCCGCCCCCAGCCCCATCGCCCCCATCCCCTCCCCCCAGACGGGCAGCTACTTACAGAGCTTCAGGGCCGGGGCTCACACCTGAGCCGGACCACAGAGGGGCTGCACCTGGCCTTATGGGTAGGTTCCTGGACGGAGCCCTGGGGCGACTGGGGGCGGGGAGGCGGCAGGGGCCGGTGGGAGGATCTCTGGGCCGCTGCAGCCCTCTGGATTTGAGAAGAGTCAAAGTATGCTTCCCTGGCCCGCAGGAGCTGGCTGCTCTGCCTGGCCTGAGTTCTGGAGATGCTGAGTTAGTGCTGTCCCACCCACTCCCTCCGCAGGAGCCCCAAGCCCCACTCTTCCCAGCGCTCAGGTGGGACGTGACGGTGCAGAGCCCAGAGCAGCAGCCCCAGCGTGGGAGCCTGGGGCAGTAGTCACTGAAGGCTGAGGGGCAGGCCCTGGCCCCGGGGAGTTGGGAGCCCAGGAGTTGGGCTGCAAAGCAGCGCCTCTCCCCAGCTGGCTGGCTGATGGGCTGTTGGCACTTCCTTGCTGACCTGTGCTGCTGGCTGGGGCACCAGTGCAGTCCTCGGGCCATGCCCACCTTGCAGTCTCTTGGGAGGGACCATTTCTTCTGTGCGTGTCCCTGGGAGCCAGCGGGCAGACCTGCAGAAGTGGTGCCGGGTGGGGGGAGCAGTGGGACCCTGACAGGGGCCGGGACCCATGAGCGGGTACCATGAGGGGCAGCCCGACAGCGGCCCGGGACAGCCTGGGATCCACTGCGCCAGTGGGGAGTCGGCATGGGCGCCCAGACCTCTGACCTTTGGAACGGGGAAGCAGAGGGAGGTGGAGGCGGGACAGCTGCCCAGGAAGACAGGACTGGTCGGGGAGGCCTTGCCTCTGCTAGTGTGGGGTTACCCTTGGCTTTCCCGGCTGGACAAACTCCAGACGAAGTGGCTTCCTTGAGCCACGGTAGTTGGGGGTGGTATGGTGTCTCCCTGGTCCCGCCCCACCTCTGTGCCGCTCTGGAGTAGGACCTTGGGAACTGGGGGGTAGGAGCCTTTAGCCCAAATGCCAAAGCCCTGAGTTAACCCTTCTCTCTCCCATTGTTTGCCTGGGGAGGAGGGTTGGAGTGAGCGTGGAAAAAAGGCATTCCCACACTGCCCTCGGCAGACTATTCTAATGAGGCCCCTCCCCCACCCAGCCACCGTCTCTGCCACTTCTTCCCCTTTCCTCCTGCCTCCTGCTGCTAACCCACCCCCCCCCTTCCTCCTTCCCCCACCCCTGCTGGCCTTGTCCCGATGGAGGCCCCCTTCCTCCTCCTCCGCCTGCCAAAACCCTGCTGGGTGCGTGTTCTCCTGCACCCAGTGGGTTGGGGGCGCTGAACAGCCGTCAGCAGCAGCATCTGACAAGCTGGGGGAAGTTGAGGGGGAAGAATAATGTTCGGGAACTTGCTGTGGTGGGGTTGAAAAGAGAGACAAAGGGGCTGTGGGGGAGTGAGGAGGGTGGCATCAGGCACGACTCCCTTCTAGACCCGGGGAGCCTGGCGCCCACCCGCTGCTGCTTGCGGTGCAGGTGACCTCACCTTTCTTCGGAAGGCCCCTCCCGCCCTCTGCCACCTGCACCTTGTTCTGGCCCCAGGGGTTTCATCACCCCTGAAGGTCTTGGGGTCACCCATGGCACCTGGTCTAGATCAGTCACCCATGCCTGAATTTCGAGGAGGCGTGGTATTTCTCTGTGAGCAGACCTGGGGCTCCCGTAGGGCTGCCACAGCTGATTCTAGAAGAGGATGGGCTTGAGTGCACACCTAGGTGCATCTTCTTATGGGGGAGGGGGTGGTAGATAAATGATGGTAGGGAGGGAAGGGCAAAGTCCCAGCAGGTGAGAGAGGGGGCTTGCTTTGGAGGGGAGAACAGTTGCTCTGCATTCTCCCCCCTCCACCCCCACCCCTGCTGGCTTCCGGCTCATTTTCCCAGCTGTTTGTGGGCTGGGGGCAAAGGATTCATGATCCCAGCTTAGAATGTGTTGAGTCAGGGAGAGAACTAGGATTTCCATCCTCAGTGTTGAAGGGCTCCACCAGAAGCAGGTTTGGTTGGTGGCCTGGAGGCTTGAGATGGAAACAAAAATGAATCTGCCACACAGTAGACCTTGGAGCTTTAACACAAAGGTTCTTAACCTGGCGCCCTCGGATCTGGGAGTCCGTGGGCGACTTTGGAGACTCCTTGGTGTTCTTGATACTTAACATATATCAGATTCTTAAACCAGTCAGAAAAGTTGAGTGGAAATCCTTTAGATGAAATGCTTTTTTAGGTCGGAGCAACTTGGAAGAGTGAGGATTGCTCTAGAATTTGCTGTTCCGTGAGTTGCCAGGCAAAGACGGGAACGCACATGCTCCAGTTTCTAGCTCAGAGTTCTTACACTCGACTTATTTTCTGATGTTCTTGTTCAGTCTTGAGGGTGAGCTTACATTCCGAGCTCTAAACTTTCTGGGGAAGCTTCTTGTTGAAAGGCATGTTGGAGATGGGAAATTTTTCACTGAATGTGGTGGGAACAGGTGCAGAGCCTTAAAGTTTGAGTTCCTGGGTCCCTCAGGTTCAGTCACTGGGGTGAAGTTAGGTTGAATGGTTCTCAGAGCTAAGGGTCAAGGATTTCATTCTCTTCTGTAGGGTGATGGGAATCCTGGAGCAGGTTTTGGGAAGGAAGAGCGTGAGACAGTGAATGAATGGAGGCTGTCCAAAGGCGAGCATGATTGGGTTTGGGTTGTTAATTTATCAGTAGGGTGGCAGGGAGGACATGTGGCCCGTAGTGTGTTCTCAGCAAACCGTTGTTGAAAGAAAAAATGTATTGATGGATCAAAAAGGCGTGTGTAGAAAAAATGGGCGAATCTGATAACATACATTTGATATAATCTTAAGATTTTGGAATGGCGTGGGAGCAGGCAGGCTCTGACGGGGCTTGAGCAGAGGGGGGCCCAGAGCAGTGATTTCATCACGTAGACATCACGACCAGACTGGATGTGTGGACTGGAAGCCAAGACCAGGAATAGAAGGGGTTGATTGCCCAGGAAAATTGTAAAAAGGACGAGAGGATCCAGTTCGTGATTGGGAAGTAAGGTAGCAGAGGATGGAGCCAAGATCTGTGGCCAAGCTAAGCCTCACGATTACTCTTTGGATAGACTCAGTCTTGCCGTGTCAGAGGGTGGGCCCTGACCGAGGCTGACCTATGGAGGAAGTGTTCGTGAGCGGCACAAGAGAAGGTTGGAAACCAGCCAAATGATTGGAGTTCACCGACCAACTTCAGATTTTCCCATTTTCCGTGGCAAGCCAGTTGATGAGCAAAGAACTCAATCCTTCACCTCCTGTCATTGTCTCCAGACCACAGAGAGATGGAGGAGAGGGTCCCCCCCCCCCCGCCCGCCTCAGTGTCAAGTGACCTGGAGAGGTCAAGGTAACTTTTGTTCCTTATTTCTCCAGGCTGAGAAGAAAGCCAAGGTGATCGCAGTAATGAATGCTGTGGAAGAAAACCAGGGCTCGGGCGAGTCTCAGAAGGTAGAGGAGGCCAGCCCTCCTGCAGTGCAGCAGCCCACCGACCCCGCCTCCCCCACAGTGGCCACCACACCTGAGCCCGTGGGGGCGGACGCGGGGGACAAGAATGCCACCAAAGCCGCAGATGATGAGCCGGAGTACGAGGTGAGCGGCTCACTTCTTCGCCCGCCTCGTCCAGCTCTTTCCTGGGTCCTTCCACTGCCAGCTCTTCCCATCCTGCTCTCCTCTCTCCACCTGACCCCAGGCCTCTTCGTCTCCCCAGTCTCGCTCTGTCTCAGTTGGTTCAGATGGAGCTCCCTCCTGGCTGTCCTGACCCTCAGATGCCCAGGGCTGGGGTTGCCACGGGGGGATCAGGGTGGCAGGGCCTCGTGACCGCCACGTAATGACTTCTGCTCCTTGGGGCTCCAGGACGGCCGGGGCTTTGGCATTGGGGAGCTGGTGTGGGGGAAACTTCGGGGCTTCTCCTGGTGGCCAGGCCGCATTGTGTCTTGGTGGATGACGGGCCGGAGCCGAGCAGCTGAAGGCACGCGCTGGGTCATGTGGTTTGGAGACGGCAAGTTCTCAGTGGTAAGTCGTGGGATTTGGTGGTAGCCTTGGGGAGGGACGGGTCTTGATCCCAGGGCCTGTGGTTTGGGGTTGGGGGACCTGGTCTGGAACTGGGGTGGAAGGACTGGGCTCTGCTCGCGTGCGCCCCCCCCCCAGCAGTCTCCACGTGGGATCAGAAGAAGCCCTAGAGAGAAGTGGGCCACCCTGGGGGGCTCAGAGAGCTGGGGTGCCTGCCAAGCTCTTGCCTTCCAGGACACTTTCTCCAGAACCTTTCCTGCTTGCGTTCTGGTCCTCCCCCACGTTTGGGTCCGACTCCTCCTTTGAGCATCATGGAATTATGTATCAATCCATCTGGTCCTCAAGGGCAGAGACTGTCTCGATGCCCCAGTCCCTGCCCATTGCCAGGCACATGGTGGGGGCTTGACAGGTGTGGCAGGAGGAGAAAGCGAGGGCATTGGTGGTTCCTCCAGGTGTGTGTCGAGAAGCTGATGCCGCTAAGCTCCTTCTGCAGTGCTTTCCACCAGGCCACCTACAACAAGCAGCCCATGTACCGCAAAGCCATCTACGAAGTCCTGCAGGTGAGCGCCCCTCTGGGTGGAGGGGGCTTGGGCGGCAGGGACTCCTAGCTGGTCTAGAAGGTGGAGTGCAGCGGTTAGGCAGAGGGTCCACCCACCAGGCCCCGGGACTCCCTTTGTCCCCCGTGTCCCCCCACCCAGGGCTCACCCCTTTCTGCACGCCCCTTCTCCCAGCTCTTGCCTCAGGCGGCCCTTGCTGCCCCCCAGCCTGTCCTCACACCCTCCCCGCTGCGTGTTGCCTCCAGGTGGCCAGCAGCCGCGCGGGGAAGCTGTTCCCGGCCTGCCACGACAGCGACGAGAGCGACACTGCAAAGGTGGTGGAGGTGCAGAACAAACAGATGATCGAATGGGCTCTCGGAGGCTTCCAGCCCTCTGGCCCCAAGGGCCTGGAGCCACCCGAAGGTAAACGCAGGTGCCCGGGCCAGCCTTCCAGGACCCCTGCCAGCCCGGCAGCTCCATGCCAGGGCTGGGAAGGCCCTGCTTGGAGAGCGCTGCCAGCTCTGTGGTTGACAGGCCGAGGGGAGCGGCTACGGGTCTCCCTTCCCGCGGGGTCAGGATAGGGGCGGGGCTGCCCTGGGACTCAGGATAAGCTCCTCCCCTTGGCTGGCTGGCACTGGAGAGCTGGGAGTTAAAACAAGTTGGGGGCCAGGCCGCACCCCTCTGTAGGCAGAGTAGAGGAGGGGAGGGAGCCAGTAACCATGATCTCATCATCTGCTCTCCCCATCCAGAAGAGAAGAACCCGTACAAAGAAGTTTACACAGACATGTGGGTCGAACCCGAGGCAGCTGCCTATGCCCCACCCCCACCCGCCAAAAAGCCCCGAAAGAGCACAACGGAGAAGCCGAAGGTCAAGGAGATAATTGACGAACGCACAAGAGGTAGTTGGCCTGGCCTTGCGGAGAGTGGCTGGCATTCAGAGGCGCGGGCGTGGCCGCCTCTGATGCTGGGCTCTCCTCCCCTCCGCAGAGCGGCTGGTGTACGAGGTGCGGCAGAAGTGCCGGAACATCGAGGGTGAGTCCCGATGGCCACTGACTCCCTGGGAGGTCCGTGGTCTGTTGTCCCCAGGACAGGCAGGGGGCTCCTAGCGCGGGGCCTGGCGCAGACTAGCCTAGGCACTTAGGAAAGTTCGAGCGTCATGGGACATCTGTACCCAGTGAAGGCCTCTGTCCGGCCCGTCCCACCACCCCTCCATGCTTCACCCACACGGCTGTCTTCCTGGTGCTATCATCTTACTTTCTTTTCAATGACACGTGCTGGTCATTAGGGTTTGAGAACTCCAGTGGGTCAGAGAAGGGTGGCCTCTCTTGGATTTGTTTGAGCTTGTGACCTTTGGCCTTTTACTCTTCCTCACCTGCTCTTACCCAGTGGTCCTTAGTGCACCTGAGAGCTGGTAGAGATGGGGGCAGGAGTGTAAGACTGAAGGACTGCCCAGGGACTATCTGCAGAGACAGCCAGGGTCCAAGCCCTCTTCTCATAGGCAGGTTCCTGTTCTCGAATTATGCGTTTCCTGGGTGGGTGGCATTGCTGCTCTGAGAGCTGGATGGACATCGCGATTGGGGCCACGATGGCCCCCCTGTATCATGGGACACCCTCCTAGACGCCTAGCTGGCTCCTTGGGCTGCTGCTTCAGCACGCCCTTTTCTTACAGCCTTTTTGGAGCTGAGCTTGGGCCCCAAGGTGGGAAAGGGCCCTTCGAAGACGTTCACTCTGTTTTCTCTCCTCCCCTTGTTTTCCAGACATTTGCATCTCTTGTGGGAGCCTCAACGTCACCCTGGAACACCCTCTCTTCGTCGGAGGAATGTGCCAAAACTGTAAGGTAGGCCCCCGGTGGTCTGCGCCTTCGCCCCCTTGTGGGGCTCACTGTCGCCTAGAGTAGCTACTATGGTGACCCTGCGGTCCTCTCTGGACGCAGAGTCCTGATAAATTGGGCCCTTGGGCATCCAAGTGTTTAACTTGCTCTTATTTGTCCTTCCCAGAAAGATTCTGTCCCCCTCGAAAGCCCATTCTGTCACAGTGTCACAGTCCCTCATGTGGGGCAGGGGTGGGGGGAAAACAGACTGACGGATGGGGGGATGGGCTCCCGCATCCTTGGGGACCCAAGAGGAAAGCCCGGGGCTGCAGCGAGGGACAAAGCGGGTGCAGCTGCCTCCCTGACCTCGTTTGGGGGCTTCCCGATTCTGCACAAGCTCTGGGTCAGCACACCTGTCGGCCCCGCCCCACACATGCCTGCCTCCTTTGGCCTGGCCCCGCCGGGTGCTGCCCCATGGTCTCTGACCCCCCCACCCTGCCCCCCAGAACTGCTTCCTGGAGTGCGCGTACCAGTACGACGACGACGGCTACCAGTCCTACTGCACCATCTGCTGCGGGGGGCGCGAGGTGCTCATGTGTGGGAACAACAACTGCTGCAGGTGAGGCCCCCCGACTCCCCCAACCCCCTCCTCTCCCGAGCCCCGGCTCCCTTTGGGGCCGAGAGGGGCCCCCTCCCCCCTGCTACACTGGGCTTTCTTCCAGGTGCTTCTGTGTGGAGTGTGTGGACCTTTTGGTGGGGCCGGGCGCCGCACAGGCCGCCATCAAGGAGGACCCCTGGAACTGCTACATGTGCGGGCACAAGGGCACCTACGGGCTGCTGCGGCGGCGGGATGACTGGCCCTCGCGGCTCCAGATGTTTTTTGCCAACAACCACGACCAGGAATTTGTGAGTGCCGGGCCCGGGCTGCCTCTTCTTACCCTGTACCTGCCAGAGCCCAAGCGCAGACACAGCCAAGCAGGAGGGCATGGGGGCCGGCCGGGTGGAGGGGCCTGAGCTGCCTGCAGGGGTGCGGGTTCGCGGTGGGGGAGGGTCTGAAGCCGGAGCAGTCCCGGTGGGCTGGGAGGGTCAGCCGCGGGTGCTCACCTGGCCCGTTGTGCTCGCCACCTAGGACCCTCCGAAGGTGTACCCACCTGTCCCAGCCGAGAAGAGGAAGCCCATCCGGGTGCTGTCTCTATTTGACGGAATTGCTACAGGTGAGCGCGAGGCCCCACGAGCCCCACAGGATGCTGCCATCCCTGTCTCGGGTAGGGGAGCTCCGTGTGTGTTTCACGCTGGCCAAACCAAATGATAGTTAACGGGACAGCCGTTGAAATAGTTCTCCGCCGAGGAAACTTTCGTGTTGAGTGAGAAGTAAAATCCGTGGTCAGCCACCGTGTCTGGCGGGGGGGGGGGGGGCGGGGGTTTGTGGGGGGGGGGGGGGGGGGGGCGAGGGTAGGGGGGGGCGGGGGTAGCGGGGGGGGGGGGGGGGGGGGGGGGGGGGGGGGCACGTGTCTTTGTGGGTGGCGGGGGAGGGCGTCCCATGTAGGACAGGGTGATCGTTAGAGATTACTGAAGACTTTCACAAAGCCTCAGAGGACAGACTCGGCGACCAGAACGAAAACATAGGCTACAGTGACTGTAAGTCATGGTAGGAAAACAAAACAAAATCAAAAAACGATCAGTGAGAGTCTGGAGAATAGTTAAATCGCCCGTAATCCTATCATGAGCGTTTTGGTGTGTTTCCTTTTCTGTTTTTTTTTTTTTTTTGCATGCATATATGTATGTGTGTTTCTAGAATCCTATATAGATAGAAAAATAAAATGAGAGGATAGTAAAACTCAGTGTGTGGTAACTCGCTTTTTCATTCGCTATCGTGACTTTCATGTTGACACGGAACGGTGTCCTTTATTTGTAAATGTCGCATAGGGTTTCGCTGAGTGGAAGGTGCCATGATTTACGTAACTAACCCTCTGTCGGGTTGTTGACTGTTTTCTCTGTTACGAGCAGTGCTGTGACAAGCATCCTCAGACACGCGTCATTATACACGTAAACTGTTCTATTGTAGGGAGAGCTGGGGCACTGGGTAGGAAGGTGGTTTCACGTGGTTCTTGACCTTGCCTGAGAGCCCTCCCGGAGGGCGCTCCTGACTCAGACCCAACCTCCTGCCATGTGCCCAGGCCAATGGCTCCTCGGAGGGGAATAACCTTCCTCGGATGGGGTGTCTTCACGGGACCAGAGGGGGACAGGCTGTCAGGGGGCACGGGCAGGGTGGCACCCCAGGCCAGTTGTTTATGTTCTGTGCTCAGCTTGGTGTTGATATTCTATAAACCCAGGGAAGTGAATTTACAGCCTTGGTTTCCCAGGCCAGAACCTCGAGGCCCTCTTAAACCACGCCACACCCCAAGAGGCTATAAAAACTCCTCGGTGGGGAGGTTGGTGGGAGGAGTGGAAGTGGCGGTGCTGAGCCCGCTTTCTTTCTTTTTTTCTTTTTTTTTTTTTTTTTAAGATTTTGTTTATTTATTTGACAGAGATCACAAGTAGGCAGAGAAGCAGGCGGGGGTTGGGGGGGGAATCAGGCTCCCTGCCGAGCAGAGAGCTGGATGCGGGGCTTGAGCCCAGGACCTTTGGATCATGACCTGAGCCGAAGGCAGAGACTTTAACCCACTGAGCCACCCAGGCGCCCCTGAGCCCGGTTTCTCCAGAGGCTCTCAGGGTTCTCGTTTCCTTGCCCGCAATCCAGCAAACATTTGTGAGGGGGTCGTGGTAAGGAAGTGAGTGTAGTTTGTTCAGGAGGAAACATGGGTGAGCTTTTCTGTTCTGAAGAGCATTTGCAACCTAAGACAAGGGCCATATTAGTGTACAGTGTTCTGAGGAGTGGGAGAGAAATGCAAAGTGCTGGGGCCTTAGAGAGGAGAGGGGTTGCTTGTAGGGGGCTGCAGGGTGCGGTGGCGGGTGCTGTTAGGGAAATCTTTATGGAGCCAGTGGTGGCATATGTGTTGAGTCTTGGAGAATGGGGAGAATTGCCCCTGGAGGCCATGGGCGGGGGGTGGGGTGAGGAAGGAGTGGTCTATGCAGGATGTAGGAGCAGCAAAGAAAAGGCCACCCCAAAAGTCACCTGCTGTTCTCTCTTGTTCTGGAAACCACTTACTATCTGGTCTTGATGGCCTCCTAAGTAGACCAAAGTAGGCATCAGATAGGCTCCTGAAGGATCCTGCAGCTCACTGGGTAAGGTCGGGCTCAGGCCTGTTGCTGACCCACGTGTCCAGCTGGCCAGAGAGACCTCCCCCGCCCCCCACCCAGACCAGGGTGCTGGGAAGGAGCCCCTGTGACCATACCTTTCGCTGGCTGGCGCAGGGCTTCTGGTGCTGAAGGACTTGGGAATTCAGGTGGACCGCTACATCGCCTCCGAGGTGTGCGAGGACTCCATCACAGTGGGCATGGTGCGCCACCAGGGGAAGATCATGTACGTCGGGGACGTCCGCAGCGTCACACAGAAGCATGTATGTCCGTGTCGTGGGGCCCGTCCCACCCTCTCTGTGTACCTCACACTTTGCTCCTGGGGGCAGCCACAGCCCCCTTGCATTTTGCTTGTTGACTCTCTTCCTTTGGCCTTTTCCCCAGTCTCCTCATCTGCCATGTTCCTCCTTGTGTGGAGAGGAAAAGGGGCAGATTCCAAGAGGAACTGGGAGCTGGCCTCTGGAGGCTCCCACTGCCCCCTGGCTAGCTTCAGGGCCTTTGTAGCAGAGCCCTTTGGTTCCCATTTTTCTGATCCATTTGGCAACAAGTGTACCAGCCTCCAGGGGCATTTGGAGGGCGTTCAGATGGCCCAGATGCCCTGCCCAGAGTGCACGGAGCAGAGCGCCTTCCCAGACAGCTGCCCGGCCAGGACCATCTTCCCTTTAAGTGGCTGCCTTTCCTGTTGAGGGCACATGGTTTCCCTGCTGGCCTCAGAGATGATCCAATTGGATCCTTTCACTTTGTTTAAGAAACTGAGCTCAGAGCGGCTCTGTGATTTGACCTGGTGCTGTGTGTGTGTGTGTGTGTGTGTGTGTGTGTGTGTGTGTGTGTGTAGTATATACCTATGAACGGATACAGTGAACATACGAAGCCACTGGGTCGTCTCTCTCTGGTGCCAAAGTCCTTTTTTTGCCAAGTCCACAGATGATTTCCTTCTTCCTTTCTGCCTCCGTCCCCCGGACATCAGGCCATCCCCTTGCCTTTATCCTCCCAGATCCAGGAGTGGGGCCCATTCGATCTGGTGATTGGGGGCAGCCCTTGCAATGACCTCTCCATCGTCAACCCTGCCCGGAAAGGACTCTACGGTAGGTGCTGCGCTCACCCCTCCGCCCTCTAAGCTGGTGCTTCCGCACGTAGGTTTCCTCCTTGGACACTTCTGCCCTGGGACAGCTACTCCCGACGGCCCTGCCCTCCCCTGCCCTCCCTGTGCCCGAGCCACACCACTGCCCTGTGCAGACAGCCCCCGCTGACGGCTTTCTCTTCCGACCTCTCAGAGGGCACTGGCCGGCTCTTCTTTGAGTTCTACCGCCTCCTGCATGATGCGCGGCCCAAGGAGGGAGATGATCGCCCCTTCTTCTGGCTCTTTGAGAATGTGGTGGCCATGGGCGTTAGTGACAAGAGGGACATCTCGCGATTTCTCGAGGTATAGCCAGCAACCTTGGTTTGACCAGCTCACTAATGGCTTCTACCTTGGACTGCTGCTTTATCCCTGTCTCATCTGCATTGTGGAGCTGGGGACGTGACTTCTGCTTTGCCAGGGGGCTGTTCGGGAAGCCCGCGGGCCTCTCCGTTAGACAGGGAGGAAACACTGGTAGAGGCCGCCTCTGGAAAGAGCCTGTGGTCTTACTCTTAAGAGGTAGTGTGTGGGTGCGGGCCTCAGGTCTTCAAGGACTCGACTGTTCCCAGTAGGGTGGGGTGCTAGTCTCCTAGAGTTTAGGGTTCTGAGTGGTGTTTCCCTGGGGGAAGCTTTGAGATGGCCACATCGGTTTTCCCCGACCAGAATGGCTTGTCTTTGCTCCCTGGCACTGTGACAGATGCTCTTTGGCACCTGGAAAGTAAAAAACATGGCTTACCTGTTTTTATTCCCCCATAATGTGGGTCCTGTGTCCGTGCGGAGCTAGGTCGGAGCACAGAGAGAGTCTCTGTGGTCAGAGGCGTTCTCAGGGTGGGTGGGCGGGCTGGGAGCTCGAGCCCATTCTCCAGGGTCTTGGGGGTCAGTAACACCTCGAGCTGGTGTTTTTAAGTGCGAGCAAGTGTCTGTTTGGCTCATAATCTGGACATACAGCGAACACATCCACACTCACTGGAACTTTCTGGCTCAGAGCCTCTGGGTGAGCTCAAGCTACGTTGTCCGGTTAGGGTAGCCCTCAGCCACGTGCGGTAAATTAACATTCAGACTCCTCAGTCTCCCAGGCCTCGTTTCGAGTACTCATTAGCCCCCTGCATCTACTCCACGGAGCAGTGCAGACAGAACACCTGTCTGTCACCCCAGAATGTGCGGTTAGGCTGCAGTGGTCTAGAATGTTCTAACGAGAGCATGTGTAATGTGGCTGGGTCCCATTCTGGCTTTTCCTGGAGGCTTCAGGCTGTCCTACTGCGAGGCTTCCTGAGAAAGGAAGCAAGCGCTTTTGAGGCTGTAAGGCTCTGAACAAGCAAGATGTCCCGGCACTGCCTGCCCTTCCTCTCTCGCTCATCTTTCATCTTTTCTCCTGTTCCGTAGTCCAACCCTGTGATGATTGATGCCAAAGAAGTGTCCGCTGCACACAGGGCCCGCTACTTCTGGGGGAACCTTCCTGGTATGAACAGGTTGGTGAGCGTGCCCGGGCCTGGGGCGGCAGCGGGTTGGCATCTGCAGGCAGCTCAGCCCGAGGGGGAGGAGGTCACTGAGTGGGCCTCGGGGGCCCCCTCTCCTGCTCGCTGGCTTGCTGCTCTACCATGTTCTTCTGTTTCCTTCCCTTGGCGGGAGAAGGGGAGTCAGGGTATAGAAAATATTTGCCTGAGAAACCAATGGCTAGCAGTTGAACTAGGAGACTCCCCACACTGCTGAGTCACATCGCCGGTTCTCGTGCCATTGGTGACCGATCTAGAGTCGTCTTGTCCTTAGCCTCCAGAGGTGAAACTCTGGAGGGTGGAGTCGGGATGGGGAAGAGTGGTGCCCACGGCCGGGCCGCACCTGCTCTGTGCAGCTTCGACAGTCCTGCTTTGCTTAGTAGCCACGCACTTTGTGGCTTCAGGTCCTTTGTTGGGAGGATGGTCTTCATTTTAGGTTCCGAGGGTAGAGATATTAATGTCCGAGAAGAAGGATAACTTCATTTCTTCAGTGTAATATTTGGATTATAAAAAGGCCTATGAGGAGAAAGGAATGGTGGTTGAGACAGCAGTTCAGGAGCCGAATGAGAGCTGCCCAGTCTGGATATCTGTTATGCAGGGAAATGTTTTCCAGAATGTTCTAAGAGGGGATTATCAACCTTGTACCTGTAAATTGTTCCCCTCATGTAATCTGGCTTCAGTCTTCGTTCCCTCTGGGCCATTAGCATAAAATTGTAGGAACATCCTGAGTCTCATACCTGCTTTACAAACCTGCTGTCTTTTGTGAAGGCTTATTGATGGGAAGGAGGCCTGTCCGTGGGATGGCTGACCTGCAGACCGTTGTGTGTGCGCATGAACAGGGCGGAGGCTGGGGGCGTGCACTTTGGCCACAGGTCCCTTTGGGTCCCCACGTTGAGATGGTAGACTGCTGTGTGAAATGTCAGAAAAGGTCAGCGCCAAAGGTGACATTCCGTGATCTGCTTCACCCTCTGAGAAGTGACACCTTCAGTGTTACAGAATTGTAGTCTTCTGGGGACTGTGCAGAGGTTAAAGCCTTGTAAACCGTACAGTTAAGGTGCATGCTTCGATGAGTTTCACCGTGTACACACCCATGCACCCATCACCGTGGTCAAGATACAGAACAGTTGGTCACCCCCAAAGCTTGCTTTGTGACGGATACTTTTTTTTTTTAAAGATTTTGTTTGTTTGTTAGCACATGGGTCCGGGGAAGGCAGAGGGAGAGGGACTAGCACACGCCCCACTCAGTGCCGACTCCCGAAGTGGGCCTCCATCTCAGGACCCTTAGATCGTCACCCTAACCGTGGTCAGCCCTTAACCAGCTGAGCCACCCAGGCGCCTCTGGACAGATACTTTTAGAATTCAGTATATTTTATGACCGGCGAGAAGTCGTTGGGTTTTCCTTCTTCTGGGCTGGTGTTATCTGCGTATTTGTAGATTGAGACGCCGTGGAATTGACGTTTCAGGGCTAACGCTTGGACGGTCCGTGGAGGGCTGCAGTGTGTGTGCGTGTGTTCTGGGGAGTTTGAAGGGGGTTACGATGTGTGCGGCTGACAACGGTACTCCCTTACCTCTCCGTGTGAGTCCTGGCGGCCGGGCCGACACTGCCGGCCACTTCCCTCCCGATCTCTGTCGTCACCTTCTCTTTCTGCCTCCTAGGCCGTTGGCATCCACTGTGAATGATAAGCTGGAGCTGCAGGAGTGTCTGGAGCACGGCAGAATAGCCAAGGTCAGCCCCGGAGCCAGAGCCCTCTCTCAGCTGGGGGGTAGGGAGAAGGCCCGAGAGGGCAGGCCGAGCCCAGGCGCTCTCCAGGCCTGTGTCTGCAGCGGGTGCGGAGAACACAGTTGAGGTGGCCCCAGAGTCGTGCACCCACTGGGCCAGAGGAGAGGGCCCAGGGGAGAGCCTGGAGGGCAAGGAGAGCGAGATCAGAAATCCTTCCCAGTCTTCAGTCTGTCCTGGTTGAGCGTCGCCTGCTGGTCCTATGAGGAGCAGAGGCTTAAGAAGTCTTTGCCGAAGTCCCTGGATCTGCTAGGCCTTGTAAATGTTTTGGCCACGCCCTCTTGGACGAACCTTCGGGATGGTGCATTCTCTTGCGACGTAGAAGCTACATTTCTTTCCGGAGATCTCCCGGCATGTGTGTACCGGGCGTCGGGATCTGGGGCTGCAGGCGCCCCCAGGGGTCTGTTGGGAGCCCCTCAGTAATTAGGCAGCCTTTTGCCTGCAAGTCGCTACACGCGTGCGAGAACCCGTTCTTAGAAGACTTAGGAAGTTCAGCGGCTTGAGCTGCTCCCTCTCAAGTCCTTGACCAGCGAGACCGGACTAAGGGTGGCCGGGTGACCTCCGAGTGGGGAGAAGAGCGGGGCAGTGGGGTCTGCAGAGGCTCGTGCCGGAGCCTGAACGCCGGCCACCTGTGTGGACCGAGCCTGGTCCGGGTTTGAGTCGCCAGTCCCGGCTTGTGCCTGGAGCACGTGGTGGACGCGTGGCCAGCGAGCGAGTGCTCATTCCTCTTTTCCTCTCCTCGTCTTCCAGTTCAGCAAAGTGAGGACCATTACTACGAGGTCGAACTCCATAAAGCAGGGCAAAGACCAGCATTTCCCCGTCTTCATGAATGAGAAAGAAGACATCTTATGGTGCACTGAAATGGAAAGGTAGTACCCGAGGCCGTGTGCTGGCATCCTGGGGCCCGTGGTGCGTGGCAGTTGCGGCCTCCGAGGGAGGGCTCGCTGCCCCTTCCGGCCGGGCTCGTAGCTTCCGCGGATACCACGTGAGCAGTGGGTCTCCCCGAGCATTTCCCAGCAGGTTTCTGTGCATTGTAAGGCCGGGCCCAGGGTCACAGGGGTCTAGGAGTGGGTTTGGGGGGCCGTGGCTCCCCGGGGGATCCCGCCAAGCTCCCAGTAAACAGTGCAGCTCCAGGAGCTTCCCCCACTCGTGCTGCCCATTTTGGGGACTTCACAAACCGGGACTGCACAGCCTCACGCCCTGACTGGGTGCAAACCAGACCCATGGGCTAGACGGCCTGGCCTGCCAGTCGCTCCATGGAACTGCAGGTTAACCACAGCGACCCTTGACACAGGCGATCAGAGCCGCCAGAAGCCTGGAGCTCCTCTAGTCAGGCAGGAGTTCGGCTCCTTCGTTGAGCTCTTGCTCCCGTGGGCGAGGTCTTAGGGATTCGTGTTTATTATGGACAGACTTCGGGGACCCGCTGCACCCCCTCTCCAGAAGGGCACGTCCCGGAGGCATCTCTCACCAGGGCCAACGTCGTTTCTTTCTTTCTTTTTTTTTTTTTAAGATTTTATTTATTTATTTGACAGAGATCACAAGTAGGCAGAGAGGCAGGCAGAGAGAGGGGGGGGAGTAGACTCCCTGCTGAGCAGAGAGCCCGATGTGGGGCTCAATCCCAGGACCCTGAGATCATGACCTGAGCCGAAGGCAGAGGCTTAACCCACTGAGCCCCCCAGGGGCCCCCCAACTTCGTTTCTGTCATGTGGCCACTCCCGGGCAACGGTTGGTTTCTCTCCCTTCAGATCCACGGCACGTGGCAGGGTGCCCGAGTCATGGCTGGTGACCAGGACAGGAGACGCAGCCGGATGGCGCCCACCCGCGCTCACCCCCACCCTTTCTGCCTTCTCTCCCCAGGGTGTTTGGCTTCCCTGTCCACTATACCGACGTCTCCAACATGAGCCGCTTGGCGAGGCAGAGACTGCTGGGCCGGTCGTGGAGCGTGCCGGTCATTCGCCACCTCTTCGCTCCGCTGAAGGAATATTTTGCTTGTGTGTAAGGGACATGAGGGCAAACTGAGGTAGAGATACAAAGTTAAACAAACAAAACAAAACAAAAAAAACCACAAAACACAACAAAACACCAACAACATGAGGATCGAGAGGAGTATCAGCACCCAGAAGAGAAAAAGGAATTTAAAACAAAAACCACAGAGGCGAAAGTACCGGAGGGCTTTGCCTTGCACAAAGGGTTGGACATCATCTCCTAATTTTTCAATGTTAACCTTCAGTCCTATTTAAAAAAACAAAACCAAGCTCCCTCCCTCCTGCCCCCACCCCTTTTTTTTTGGGTCAAACCTTTTGTTTTCTACTCTTTTCAGAGGGGTTTTCTGTTTGTTTGGGTTTTTGTTTCTTGCTGTGACTGGAACAAGAGGGGTTTTGCAGCAAAAAAAAAAAAAAAAAAAAAAAAACAGTAACAAGAAATAGTAACAATACTGGGAGAGGAAGGATGGGAGAAAAGGAAAAAAGGAAATTCTACAGAAATCTATATATTGGATTTTTTTTTTAAACTATATATCTTTTTTTTTTTTCGTTGTTGTCTCTAGCCTGATCAGATAGGAGCACAAGCAGGGGACAGAAAACAGTGACGCTCAGCGGCAGAATTCCCTCCCAGCCACTGAGCTGTCTTGCCAGCACCATTCCTGGTCCTGCAGAACAGAGCCCAACTAGCAGCAGGGAGACAGAACACACAAGACCCTTTTACACAGTATTTCAGGTGCCTACCACACAGGAAACCTTGAGGAAAATCAGTTTCTAGAAGCCGCTGTTACCTCTTGTTTACAGTTTATATATATATGATAGATAGGAGATATATATATAAAAGGTACTGTTAACTACTGTGCAACTCGAATTCATAATGGTGCTTTAAAACAGCGAGACGAGTAAAAACATCAGCTTCCACGTTGCCTTATGCGCAAAGGGTTTTAACCGAGGCTGGAGAGGGGAGGCAGCTTGAAGGTGAGCGGTTGCCACGGTGGGCTTTCCCCTGGTACTGAGCAGGGCGGACGGGGAGAAGCTGGGGCCCGCGTTCTCCCGCTCCTCCCTGTTCACAGTGGGGGCGAGAGGAGCCGGCTCGGCCCGTGGAGAGCTGACAGTGGGATTCATCCAGGCTCATGCAATAACCTTGAGACGGTTTTGGGTTTTTTTTTGGTTTTTTTTTTTTTTTTTTTTTTTTTTTTTCAGAAAGGAGACCCCCTCGGTAAGATGACAGGATAAGGGGTCTTCATTCCCAATCTCTCACATTAGCCGATTTGAGGGCTCCTTGTGGTGGGATCAGAAATAATCCAGAGTGTGGGCAAGTGACCGTTAAAACCCCACCTGGAGCAAATAAAAAAACATACAAAACGTACTGGTGCTTTCCTGTCTAAGTCGCCTTTTGTGTGTTCTTTTATGAGGCCCTCACCATCCACCCTCTGTGCACAAGGCGGCCTCCGGCCCCTGGAATGTGATGTTTTTGGTCATCTCCAAAGGCTGCAGTTTTCTACTGGGAGGCTGATGACACCTTTGGTTCTAATTCTTATGGTTCTGGTTATAATTATGTTTGCTTTTCAGATTTTTCTTTAAGAAAACAAAAACCCAACCCCCTCCTTTGCGGTTTCAAACCAAGGTGCGGGGAGCAGGGTGCTTCTAGGTTAGCGGTGGCCCTGGTGCCCTGGCTCCCCACCCCTCGGGCCAGGTGGGCCACCGGGTGCAGCGACAGCTGGGCGGCCAGGGGAGTCCCCCAGGTCCGGCCCTCCGGGTGCGTCCCTCTTCTCTTCTGCTTCCCCTCCCCTGAGTCATGCGTGTCAGGGCTGGAGGGAGGACCAGGCCGTCTCTCTCCTCGTGTGTATGATTGGAGTGGTGTGTATTTCTTTTCTAGTACTTGGTCTGATGATAGCTGTGCTCTTACCCAGAGCCAGCAGCCCCTGGAGCTCCCAAGTGCTCGGACACTTGCTCCCACCTCCTGCTGCGGCAGGCCGCCCGGCATTGGCGGTAGGCTGGGCCAGCACTGGGGGCTCCAGGGTGAGGGCCCAAGGGGCAGATGCTTGCCTGGATAGATGGGGTGTAGATATGTGGCATATAGAGATATATATTTTATAATGGGAGGGGGGATGGCACCTCCTGGGACTGGCAGGGCTGGGAGGTGTGCTGTGAAGCACATGGTCCCAAGTTCGCATCCCGAGAAAAGATAGGGCCTACTGTGATAGGCGCTATATAAATACATAGATAGGGTCACGTATAAGAAATGTTATGTAGTGGGGAGCGGGCCGAGGGGGCTCAGTGCTGAGCCTCGGGTCCCACCGCAGACGTAAGCCCCACACTAATCAATCAATCCCACACGCGTACACGGCAACCGATCTCCACCGATGCGGACTGGGCGCACTCACGCATGCACACAGCCGGGGGCCCCCAGCGCCCTCCTCCCCGGGGATTCAGGACTCGGTGGCGTCGGCCCTGCAGCTTTTTACCTCTGTCGCCCTGATTGCAGGTAGACTCAGTCCCAGAAGGTGCTAGGTGCTGAAGGCAGGACAAGGAGGAGGTTTCATTCCCGCAGGTGCCCTCCTCTCGCAGGTAGCGTTCTCTCTCTTTTGCCCCCGGTGATGTCAGATTCTTCTGTTAGCAACCTGTGATACTGACCTGCAACTCTAGGCACCAGTCAAGTCAGCCCTCGACTCCCCCTACCTATTCTCCCCCAACCAAAATAAAATCCACATCCAGGTCTGTCTCGGCCAGGGGGCTTCCATTGGGGAAAAAAAAAAAAAAATGGGACAGTGAAACTCATCTTCTGAATAAAGTAAATTAGTAATTGGTGACCAAACGAAACCGAGGCTTTGAATCCCTTGCTCATTGCTCAGGAGGAAGCCCGCAGCTGGTGGCCACAGTCTCCCGGGCCTCTTCGAGGTGCCTGGTCCTGGGCTTCAAGCTATGTGTTTCCCAGTCAGATTGGTTTTTATTTTTATTTTTTTTTTAAGATTGTGCCCAGTTTGCTGCCAACTCTGTGATGTGGGGGCAGGTGGCGTGAGGCTGGAGCAGCTGGGGGGTGGGGGGATACCTCTGCCCCTCCCTCATTGGAATCCCTGTACCTAACCCGTGGTGCTTGCCCTTGTCCCCTCCTTCTCCAGCCGGGCTCCATCCTCCCGGCCTGGGTCCACCAGCACCACTCCAGGAGGGCTGCGGGGAGGAGGGGCTGCCCCCGGCAGCCCAAGGTGCTCCCTCCCCCACTGGCCAACACTATGGTCTTCGCAGCCCCCAGTGTCAGGAACGGCTCTTCACAGGCCTGCCTCTGCGAACAGACTTTCCAGCTCTCCTGGCCTTCCTAGACCTTCTGTCCACTGCTTACACGAAGGCGTTTGCCTTTCCCAATGGCCCCAGGTTTCACCCAGGGGGTTGGTGTGGTGGCCGCGGAGATGGCAGGCCTGAGGGCTTAGTGTGGGCCGCCCAGCTTGCTGTGGGGAGGCCTGGTTGTTGTGGCTGATATTTAAAAGAATACTTGTTTCTCCTGGTGCAGCAACCTGACTAGGCCCCAGGATGGACCAGATGAGAGTTAACAATCACCAGCTTTTCTTCCAGCCCACCCCATGGGCTTGGTTCCCCCAGTAGAACTTGGGAGGGTACAGGGGACCCTGAGAATGTGCCAGCTTGACCATGCCCGATGCTCGCAACAGTCTTCTGCCAGCCGTGGGCGGGGGCGCTTCTGGGGACATGGATCTGGTCGCCTCCTAAAGGAGGGCTGTGCTTTGGCTGAGGCCAAAAGGGGTGTGAGGAGTAAGGAGGGGATTGTTGCACTTGCTGTGGGTGAAGCTGATGGTCGAGGCGTGGAGCAGGAGAAACCAAGAAGGCCCAGGGAAAATTCTGGAGTATGTCCCCAGGGGGATTTTTCTTTCTGATGAAATTTATCCCTGGAAACCAGGGTTTCTAGGGACTGAGGGTGATGCCTCCCCGTTTGTTGCCAATGCCAAGTAGAAGGTGGTGCCAAAGAGATTGGTGGTTTTTGTCTAGGAGGGCGGGGAGGGTTGCCGGGGGCTTGTGCCAGGGTCCCAGAGCCTTTGGTTGCCTGCCTGAGGAGGAAGTGAGTCTCCTGCAGGTGGCTGCTGAGCCCTGTGGTCTGGGCCTCAGGCCGGCTGCTGCTAAGCCCCTTCCCCTTGGGATTGGCCGCAGAACAGTAGGCTCGGGGCGTTGCAGGGGAGGACTGGGGCGGGGAGAGGGTTCTTGGAGTTGGCAGATGACGCCATGAGTGTATTACTATCTGTTTTTCTCTCTAGACCCCAGAACCTTCCTGCTTTTGAACATTCTTCTAGAAAGCAAACTTTCCCCAAGAACATCCAGGACCTCTTAGCTTTTGAGACAGGCCTGGGAGTGGTTGGCTGGTGGAGATGCCCGTGGGAGTCTTGGTGAGTCGCTAGGTATGGATTGGACCCAGCAGACCGGGCAGCAGGGAAGGCTGCTGGACCTTGAACTGGGCTCGTGAGGGTCGGCTCCCCGTCCTTCCCACTTCGCTGGCGCTTCTGGGAAAGCCCAGATGGGGATACCCACAGGAAGGTCTATGGCAGGAGCAAGGGAAGGAGCATCTCAGAACCGTCTGGGGAGCGTGTTCTCCAGGAAAACCGCAACCCAGAGTCTTCCTGGGTTTGATGATCTAGGTGTACATAAAGTTGATCTTGGAGGAGGTTTTGGACTCCTGTAGCCATTTTGCTTGGCCAGAGGCTTGCTGTGGCTTTCGGACCAGTCATTTTTAGGAGACTTGCAGGAGCCCCCTCAAGCTGTGGATTTGGGCCTTGGGGCCTCCCCTGGCACGGTGATCTGGAGAGGGCTGGCTGTTGCCTTTGGTCGAGGGAACAGCAGACCCAAGATTCTGGTGAGAACAGTTTCTCTCCGGGCCCCATTCTGATCCAGGGAGGTGAGGGATCTGAATTTGTCTTTGGGCATTGTCTAGTTGTTTGCTCCCAGTGCTTGTGATCAGAGGTGACATCGGAGTTGTCCTTGGCCGGAGAGCTGAAGGCTTCCCTCCAGCACAGGTTGGGGGCGCGTTGCGGAGGCCTGGCCTGGAGCTAGCATGGCCTCCTGGCCAGACCGTGCTGAGGCCAGGACTAACGACACGTGTTTGCAGGATCTGGGAGGAAAGAGGGGGAGATGAGTGGCAAGGATAGACTCCATGGTTCTAGCAGAAGCTCTCGAATCTTTACGTTTTGGTAAAGGAAAGCCTGAGTATCTTCGGGAAGCGAGGGCAGCCCCACCTGTCCCCGTGTGTGTCTCAGAGACCTGGCTGAGGCGGGCCTTTGCTTGGTGACCTCTCGCCCATCACGGACCCTGGGCAATGGAGCTTCCGGGGCAGGAGAAACAGGAAGGTCTAAAGCAGCGCAGACAAGGACTGGAGGTCCCTTTGCTGGTTGTGATTGGCTGAATTGCCCGGAGGCCCTCGGACTCCTGGAAC